CCAGTCGTCTGGAGCGTGCACGACTTATTTTTGCAGCGGTTTACAAAACCAGTCATAAACACTGATAAGAGCTGGTGGAAATGGAGAGAGGCCATTCCCCCTTGTTTGAACTCGCGGCTAAAGACCTGAAGGAAACTTTTTCGTCGAGCGTGCGGAGGAGAAAGAGGTGAGCGAAGCAGCGAAGGTGAGGAAGTTGTAAGACAGTGCAAAGTGCACGAGCCGCCGGGTCACTTTATTCCCAGCTTTGTTTGCCGTGACCGAGGCCTAACAATGCGTCCGGCCGCTATCTTTTGAAGATGAAGGATGCCGGTTTATAAAAGGTGCACGGTGAGCTGCGTAAACATTAACCAGACCTTCAATGTGGAAAAGCATCAACCAAGCAAACATCTGAGGGAAAGGCCTGCAGGACGTCTCTGTTGTCTAATGCGATTTAAATGACAGCCATCAATTCTCGTGTGCAAACACTCACCAAACGCACGTCTGACCGACGGACAAACATCTAAACAAAAGCAACAAATATCTCAAAGAAAACATCCATCCTCGCGCCACGGTTTCACCCTCTGAGACATCATTAGCGTCCGCTTTTATGATCTCACCAAATATTCATCAACACCTGACAGACGGAACCCAATCAGACAGAACCGGCAACCTTTATATCCGTCGTCTGGTGGAGCTGGTGCACCTTGGCCAGCGACGAAAACAACCTTTGATTACGTTTGAGAAATTCCTCCCCCCCCCCAAAAAATCTTGAAATCGATCGCTGCTGGTTGTGTAGCAGGAAATGTTTCTGCTATCACACTCCCCTCCTCTTATTGTTCTGGAATGATCCGAACCCTCATTAAGGTTTGGGCACCAATCCACGAAAATAGGAAAAAAAACGACACCACCAAACAAAAGAAAGCCAACAGCTGTTTTTAAGCATTAACGTATGTTCGCTTGTAGATGCACTGAACATTTTTTTCCCATATTTTTTTTACATATCACAAGACATAAAAACAATTTAAATATTTTTTTTTTTACCCCCGTCTATACGAGTGGTTGTGGCTTTAAAACTCAATTATTTTAATGGGTATCAAATCGAGCGTGTCAACTCTTCTGCACCGCATGTTTGCTTCTGTCAGTCAAGACGCCCGTGAGCAGCACCTGGGAACGTTTGAGCGCGGTGTAGATTTTGATAAAGGGGGACAAAACAAGCAGCCGATCTGTTCGAATCAAGCGGATGATAATTGGGATGTAAACGACGGTGTAATTTCCCCGCGTGTCCTTCTTTTGCTTTCCAAAATTCTATCGTCGTGCTTCCTCAGTTTCACACAGTAGTTGATTTTCTTGATTTATCTCTAAAAAGCATTCTTTCCAGAGAGGAGAGGAGTTGATAAATGCTGATACACTCACACGAGTCACTTAATAAACTGCTCTCACAGTGTAACAAGCAGCAGAAGCAACTGGGGAGTTATTTTGCCCTGAGTTTGGACTCTCAGGCGACGAGCCGATAGCCTGCCTCATCATTTCCCCAAACCAAATTTGCACCTTTAGGATTCTACAAGACAGAAATAAAGTAAAAGCAGCAGACACCGATAAGTTTTTTTTGGTTTTGGAGTAGAAGAAAAGTTTCCTCCTGTCACAACAGCCTTTACATCTCCCGGAGAAAACAAAATGTGTCCAAACACACCGCTGACAACAGGCCATAGAAACGTCACTCTCTTGCCCCCTTCCTTTTCTCTCTCTCTCTGCACACATTTTCTCCATCACACTCCCCTTCTCTCGCTCACGTCCATCTCTTTCACTTCCACCATTGTTGTCTTGCTCCATCTCCAGCCCCTCCTTCTGTCCCTCTGTGTGCTGCAGTTCATTCTGCATGCCTTCAAGCTGTCTTTCTAATCTTCCTGAATTATTCAAGACACTTTCTCCTCTTCTTCTACTTTTTTTTTTTTACCCAACACGTCAACTGCAAACCGAACTAGAGGATAGAAAAAAAAAAAAGTGTGTTTACAGTTCATTTGCATTGAAAGAAATGTTCTCTGGGGGAGACTTTCTGACTGCAGGTTTTCTCATCATGCATTTATTAGCAGAAACAATGAGTCCTCGCATTACCGGTACATCCTTAATTTGCCGTTAATTAAACAGAAAGCTCGCTCTACCTTTGCATGCAACCTCACATCACTGAAGCAGGACTCTGGTGCTGAACTTATTGCATTAGAAGCTCCTCTTTTGCTACAGAGAGTCAATAACCCGAATGGATCGCTCAAGAGCTTCCTTTAAGATCACGATGGAGGTAATCAGCAAAGTGCACCGAGATAAAAACAAAGGCAGTGTTTAGATGTGCTTTTTCTGTTTTTTTCTCTTTCCTTTCCATCCTTTTCCAAAGTTAACCGCCATGACAAAGGTGTGAGTTCTTCTTTTCTTCAACATTTGCTGTTAGCTCACACACACACACACACACACACACATTTCCCCAAACCTGCAAGACGTCAGAAAGTGTAAAAACCTTGCAGACAACATGAAGGGTGCAGCAGGTGACAGGCCTTTGTGGCTCTAGTGTGAGTTGTATTAATTATTTGTGTGCTGGTTTGGCTTTAAAAAAAAAGGAAAGAAAAGATATTGGTCAAATGAAATAGTTTATTTATAATTTAGAGGGTGTGTGTGTTTTTTTCCAGAAGCATATCTGCATCCCTGGAGAGCATTTTGATATTCAAAAGCTGTAAACTCCAAATTTACCTCGTGGTAATTTTGCAAAACAAATATCATATTGCCAAGTCCTGAAATATTTGTGTATGCTGGGATTTTTGACTTTTTTTTTACTCATTTTGCTGCTTGATGCTTAAAGTTCTGACAGGATTCTGAAATGTAAGGACGTTAAAGGAGGATGGAGAGCTTTGTCTTTTTCTGCTGTCTGTACATAACTTTCCTCTTTTTTGTGCAAGTGCCACCTACATAAAACACATCTTATTTCACTAAAGGATCAAATAAATACAGGTGTAATGCATTTAAAAGGGGAATAATATGGAGAGAAAACCAGCTGCTAGAGTAAAGTGGCCTCCATATATAAAATAAAGCGTGTGATTAAAAACCCTTTCCTACCTGCTTTCTGACTCTCAGCATGTACAGTATGCAGCCATTTCCGCAAAGCTGCTCCTGTTGATTTAGCAACGTGTTCACGTCTGCCACCGAGAATGTCTCCTGGCTTTGGAAATGGACAACAGCAGCAAACAAAAACCTTTTAAACAGCTGCTGTGTGTCAAAGTGGCTGACATGTGCTGCGACTGTCAAACAATATCCCCTTTTCCGTGCAGACCTGCGGCTGAATGGAGCAAAAAAAAAAAAAACTGGATCGGTTTGTGTTGAACGTGTCTCTGTGTGATTGTGGGGAGTCACGCTGAGGTTTTAGTTCTAGCGTCCATCATCAGTCATTTCGCTGCTGGTCCTTTTTCATTCCTTCATCATGCTCCATAAAGCTCATCAGCAGGGACTGTGCAGGCATCAACTTCCTGCAAGTCTTTTCTATTTGGAAATCGATCTTATTGTAACGCTTTACTGTCAAATAATTAAAATAAATCCTGCAGAGAATTTGCTGCAATACCAAATACATCCCATGGCCTCAGAGTGGATGATAAATCCAGATTCTAGTGCAGAATATCATATATTAATCCTAAAAGCATGTGTTAAAACACTGGACAGTTTTAGTGATGTGATTAAATAATCTAAACAAACAGTGTTTCAGTCACTTCCCACAAGTTTGCAAAGCTCGCGAGCTTCTCCAAGCTTCATCCCCAAGCACAGAAGTAAAAGTAATCGAGTCCACTGGAGAGGGATGTAGCTGTGTCTCTAATCTACAGACTCACATATTGGTTCCAGGTTGTAATAAATCACAACTACTGTAACTTTGATCACTCAGCAGCTGATGTTGGCTCTCACTCACAAAGAGCAGGAGCACAGATATGATCAGAGATTTACTTCTTTTTTCCCCTCTAACACCTGTTTCTTTTTAAGAATTAAAAAAAAAACTGTCTGCTGTACAGTGACACATATTTAAAAACCTTAGTCATTAGGCTCAGCCACTTTTCCAGTTTTTAAAAAAATATATTCTTGCTTTGATTTGATCATCAGTCCAAAGAAATAAAGTCACTAATATTTGCAGAATTATATAAATTCAAGAAAATTTACACAGTTGTTAGAATTATTTTTTTTTTTAAATAAAATTGAAAATAAAATCCAGAAATCAAATTGAATTACACACACATTAGAATTATCTTTTTTTTTTTCTTTTAATTTTAAATTTTACATTTTTTGCTCATACCCCAGCACCTGACGTTTTAAAACATCATTTCACGACTGAATTTGATGTGGAAGACAGTTATGTGATAATCTGCCTTCAATTACCAGTTGTGGTGCCACTTTTATTTTTTATTTTCTTGCAGGATTCATCAGATAAATTAAAAGAAGGCGTCGCTTTATTGCAGCGGTGAAGTGGAGCTCTGAGAAATGTTGCTGCGGGATGATGAGGCTCAGCGGTTCCGTTTGAGGTGGTTTTTAAAAAAGGCTCCATCATGGCCCGCACCAGCCTAAATGGACTTTCAAATTGCATTTATTTTTTTTCTTGTTGCATGTGACTAAAACCCAATTGTGTGCTCGTGGACGTGCGCAACAGAATCAGAGAGAAATGTGGTCTGTGCTGCGGTTTTGTTTAAAGGGAGTGTTTAAGTTTGTGTTTAATGGAGTGAAGCAATAAAATATGTCACAGATTAGTCATAAAATATAAGAGAATTATTATTATTATAATGAGTCGTGTTATTAAAATTATCGTGGAGGATCATCAAATGCGTAATTTTGCATGACCAAATTCCAACACCTGATATTTCTTTTCTCTCTAATTATTATTATTATAAACACATTTTCTCAGAATCAGCCCATACAGGCACCACACAGGAAATTTATCCCGAGTGTCAGAACGCTGCTGAGCATCACACAGACTCTCCGGGACGCAGGACGGTGGATGGACTTACCGACACACTCGTTGGCCTCCCTGGCTGTGGCTCTCTGCCACGGTCTGTCGTAGTGGAAAGGTTTGCACCTGTCGCACTCCGGCCCGGCCGTGTTGTGTTTACACTCGCACACCAGACTGCCGTCCCGGTCCTTTACGCACCGGGACGCGTGTCCGTTGCACTTGCATCTCCCTCCGACCTGCAGGTCCGACACGGCGTAGAAGTACGAGTCCCTGGCCAGCTCCGAGTCGTCCTCGTTCTCGTCGCCGAACGTGTGCAACCGGCTGAAGATGACTTTGATGTCCGTGGCCGTCACCCAGTCCTGCAGCACCGGGGAGTTGTCAAAGTCGTGCGCCGACGGTCTGCCGTCCAGCGTGCTGAAGGCGATGAGGCCGCCGGTCAGAGGGTACATGTCGGTGTGGGAGTCCGTGCACACGGCCTCCTGCTCGTTCTGCTTCGTGATCACGGCCCTGTTGGGCTTGTTGTACATCTTCCTGCACTGGGTCGAGTAAAACTGAAAGGGCACCCAAGTTTTACCGTAGTCCATGGACTTGTAAATCGCCATGGATTCGGGTCTCGGCGAGCAGAACTGCAGGCTCACATATGTGACCTCGAACTTCTTGCCGAGGGACAGAGTCAGGGTGACGTTCTGCGGGTACTGGATGAAGTTCTCGGACTGCCAGCAGGTGAGGTTGTGCGGGTTGTTGAGATCCGTCAGGTAAGCCGGAGGGTGATACTTCTTGGGGTCGGAGGCGTCGCAGGTGTGACAGTTCCTGGTCCTCTCGTCTCCCTTCTCGGCCGATGTCACCACGCAGTAGCGGCTCGGCGTCTTGCCGCAGGTGCTGGACACCCTCATCTCCTTGCCGAAGGCGGAGTTGACGAAGTCCGGGATGCAGCGCCGCGGGTTGCCGTGCTCGTCGTAGCAGGGGTCCGGGGGAGAGGTCTGCGCCGCGAACAGGCTCATCCCGTAGCCGCCAAAGACGCTCCGGCACGACAGGGACGCGGCGAGCAGCAGAGTCAGCGCAACATCCACAGCTCTTCTCATGGCAGCTCCGTGTGTCTGTAGCTGGAGGAGAGAGGAGAACACACACAGCAGGCGTGTAAAGAGAGAAGTTAACAATCTGGTGATGACACAGGAACACAATCAGGACAGTTTTCCAAACCAGAACTGGAACACGTGTCAGAAAAGTCACTCACATCATGCCAAGTTTGGTTTAAAAAAAAAAAAAATCTATAAAACTCACTTTACCTGAGAATAATTTAAAATAACGTGACTAGAGAATGGAGGCTACTTTTCTCAATCACAGCTCCTCCTGTTTTTAGTTGTTTGTTTCTTCCAAATCTGCTGCGTAAAAACAGAGGAGCGGCGGATTTAAGAGTCGCTTGTGTCCTTATAGCAAGTCCCACTCCTCCTGCCGGTCTTTTCAAAATCTCTCTCCCCTCTCTCTCTCTCTCTCTCTTTCACTCTCTCTCTCCCTCCTCTTTCTCTCTCACTGCGCGTCTCCCTCTCTCGCGGATCGGATCCTGCTTGGCACAGCTTTAGGTTCAGCTCATCCTGAGGGGTGACACCAGGCGGAACAACGACGTCCACTGGTGGCGCATCAGAACACTGACGCGTGAAAGAGAGAGAGAGAGAGAGACGCAGATAATCTCAGGAGAAACAAAGAGAGAAAACATTTTTTGTTTCGATCATGATGAAGAACAGAGCACAGCTGGCCAACAGCTATTATAAAGCCAACAAATTACAGACACTGTTTGGTGTAATCATGCAAAGCAGATTAAAAAAAAATAAAAAATCTTCTTCCTCCTAAACCAAGCTGGATTCTTGTATCCAACACTGTCTTTTCCCCCTAATTCTAAACAATATTAAAGGAGTGACAAAATAATGAGTTTCACTAATAGCAGATACAACCACTGGCTCCTATATATCCGATTAGGAACATTAGACATGAATAAAAATGCTCAAATTTGTCTAAATCCACATGAACAGACTATTACAGACACATAAATCAATTTAAGAATGCCCATCCTCTAATAAATAAAATGTTCTCGGCACTAACATGTACATATGATGAAGAAATGCGTTTTGTTTAGGCTGTAAAGTGACACCAGTGCCTCTAGTTTACCTTCCAAACATCACATTCAGCTCCACTTGTGTTGCAGATTGCAGTATCACATCCCTCCTGGGCTGAAGCTCTCCTGTCAGCTCCATGAGACCTGTTGAATGTCAGCAGGAAAAGTAACAGCGCCATCCTGTGGCCATACAAGGTAACAGCAGATGAGCAAACAGCAGCATCTCTTTCTCCCAGATGGTGGAGGTAGAACACAGGCTATAGCATGACAGTCAGTG